TATATAAATTCATTATAATTATATAAATTAATTATAAAAAATTATATTTATTATATTTTTAATTTATATATTTAAAATATCAATTAAATAAATATTATATTTATTTTCAAAGTTGGAAGGTGCTGGAAAGTAATTCTATTCTTCCTAAACGTAAAATAAATAAAAGTTTAGGCCCTTTTCGAACTAACAGGTCATGGTCTACTGGCGGAAGTAACTCAAAGTCTCTTTGAAGTCTGGTGTTCAAGCCTTGGAGGATACAAAGCGAAAGGAAATTTTTCAAGAATTTTAAATTTAAACTGGTTGAACGGTTTACACCGATTCGATCCAATTTTTAAAACTTTGCTAAGATGGTTGTCGTGCTTGAATTCATTGGGAGAAAAGAAGCCTCAAGAAAGTTTGGGATTTTATAAAGACTTTAAAATAAATTAAAAGATAAGATAGAAGAAAATTGGTGTTACAAACTTTAATTTGAAGATTACTTCCCGATCTCTCTCAAAGGATTTTTTTTTTTTTTTTTACCAATAGAAATAATATTATTATTAGATAACAAATAATTTTCCTACACATTTTTAGTGCTCGGTTTCTCGGCCAATATATGTATTTATATATATAGTGATCCAGTCTAGCAAAGGTCATTACCTTTTGTTCTTTTCCTTTGCTTTTTTTTTTTTTTTTTTTTTAAAAATTATGAACAACTCTCTCTTTTTTTTCTTTTTTTTTTTTCCCTCAACAAAGACATGGTTCAAATGCATATAGACTTTGAAATTTAGTACCCAATGCCTAAGTATGATAATAATTTATGATTGCATGGTAAAACTTAATTTTTTTAGTTTATTATTGAAGGCATGGGGCCATTAAAATCTGTGCTCAGTTAAGGCCTATTGTTGACATTTATGAAAATTCATTATTAAGTTTTATTTCATAATATGGTATGGTATCATGCACCTTATGGTGCTAATATTTGTTATCACTAAATATATTATTTAACAACCCCATAAGTTAATGAAAACTATATATCTTGTAACAACCTCCAAACATTTGCAAAACTAATATTACTTTTAGTAATGATTAGTCATTGCTACTATTGTTAAAAGTGATATAAAATAACTTTAGTGGAGTAGTTACAATATCATCTTTTATCACCACTATTTGTTGTTCTTAAATATATTATATAACAATATTATAAATTGTTGTAAAAATTTACACTTTATAAAAACCTTAAATCGTTTCTAAAACTAATATTTTACAACAATAATGGTCATTGCTAAAAAGGTATAGAATTATTTTAGTGGTTATTAAAATGAATGTTTATAACCATAAAAGTATTAGTCGAAAATATAATCTTGCAATGTGATTAGTAGTTTATGAAGTTAAATGAACTATAACTATGGTTTTTGAAAATTTATTGGTATAGCGGACTACCATACCTATAATTGATCTTGACCGTAGGTAAAAATTCTACTTTTATACCTACACTAAGTCATTTTCATAGGTAATGTCATCTTCTTCTTACAATTTTATAAAATATGTAGGTATATTTAGACTACATACATACAAATTAATAAATTGTAGGTGTAAACACCTATACTTACAGAATGTAGGTAAAAAAATAGTGTAGGTATATGGCAGATTGGATGTAATATAGTAGCGTTGGTATCATTGGCAGTTAAGAGGGACGATAAGGATTAGGACAACAACTGAAAAGATAATAGTTTAGTAATGGAAGAGCTATGGGCAGCAATAATGGAAGAGGTATCAAGCTACTCAGCATACATAATTCATGGGTCTTAGATTCATGTTTTCTTTCAAAATTTTTTGGGTGGGTGTAGATTGGTTTCTTCTTTTTATTGTCGTATGCTAACCAGGATATGCTTCTTTTAGCTATTAAGAACGTGAATTTTTTTTTTTTGGTGAAAACATATCATACTATTAATATTACACAAAAGTCTTACAAAAGTTGACACAAACTAACAAAAGCACATGTTGGGGGATAGGCCCAACATTAGCTTTAGGCCTAAAACCTCTCGCAAAGCCTAAAGGTATAACAAGAGCAATCACAATATACCCACGTGGCTTTAGACAGATGGACCGATAAGGGAGTACCACGTGGGATGGATGCCATTAATAAAGGCTATAAATAGCCCTATCTACCTCTACGCAAGGTAATAACTCGATTACGCTTCTCTTTCTACAATAACTCTTCCTTAGAGCTTCTCTTTTTAAATTATAGAATACTGTTGAATTGAGCGTCAAAGTGTCTATCTCAAGGAAACATCTTCAAGTTTTTCAAGTATTGGCGCGGTTTGTGATCTCTACAGTAGGAGTTTGTGAAGTCGCCCAAACAATTGGCATCGTCTATGGCAACAAGAGCAAAATAGTTGTGTTCTTTCACCGGTTGAGCAAAAATGGTGCAAACTTTCATAGGCTTTCAGCCACCCCAAGTAAATCAAAAGGATGACCAACCCTATTCCCCAAGAATTGAACTAGATAGATTCAGACATTTGCTTGATAACTTATTTGTAGGAAGGGCAAAAAAAGTACATGATAATAGTTTGATGATGAGAAAACTTTTAATTGGTTATGCAACACAGCTTGAGGAGTAATGGTGTCAACCCCCAACTAGGGTTTAATTAGCTAGGCACCCCACTCACATAGAATCCCTTGTACATGCTACATAAACCTCTAAACTAAAAGAACAAACAAGGATTTTGGAAATTGCCATGGGAAGATCTTGTCACATCTTATTCTCAGTGACCTAATGATCCCTCTATTAAACCAAGGTGAACCACTGCCAAGAACTCCACCCCGTCGTTCCTTAGTTTTAAGCAACATTGTCATACCCACGAGACCTAGGGGAAGCGAATGACCTAATATGGAACTCGGCTCATCGATGTCCAATGAGGAGTTGATGAAAAAGAATGTCGAGCTAGAAAAACAACTCAAGGAAATTCAGAAATCCATAAACAAGCTAAAAAACCTGAGGTCGTGGCAACAAGCCCCGGACCCAGATAATGTTTCACTCAACTCATCAATTACATTAGAACCTTACCAGGAAGGGTCTAAAATCCCTCACCTTGAGGCATATGATGGGTCAAGTGACTCGAATGAACATTTACATACCTATCAGGCAATTATGAAGATATAAAATGCATCCAATGTGATGATGTGTAAAGTGTTCCCAACCACTTTAAAGTCGACAACTCGTAGATGGTACCATAAGCTACCAAGACATTCAATTAGCTCTTACTCCCAACTCATCACCTTATTCTCTAATAAATTTGAGAGCCAACAAGAGATAAAATGCACAACCACAAAGTTGATGTAGGTTCATCAGGAAAAGGAGGAGTCTTTGAAAGACTGCAAGCAACGCTTTAACAAAGCTACTCTAGACATTGACAATGTTCTAGACACCATATGTTTGTCTACCCTTTTGCATGGCCTAAAACTTGGTCGTTTTCTAAACAACCTACTAGAAAATCCCCCAAAAACATGGAATGAAGTCAATGACAGGTCAAGTTTATCTTGTTAGATGATTTTCAAACGTCCAAACTAGGAGCAGATGATAAGCCAAGAAAAGACTTAAAGTGGCAAGAAAGGAAGAAAGAGAAGAAGAAGCAAAAAGTTACCGACCAGAGAGAAAGGCTAGGCATCTTTCAGCCCACTCCTCGGTATGTAAATTACACCCCACTAAGCTCGTCAAGTTCACAAATTCTAGCTTAAATCAATAGTAAGTAAAGAGGCCATCCCTCATCCATTTTGATCCAACAAGAATAGACAAGAGCAAATATTATGAATATCACCGTAACTCTGACCACCATACAAAAGATTGCCAAAGTTTAAAGGATGAGCTGAAGTTCTTAGCTTGAAGTGGGAAGCTAAAAGATTACACACAAAAAGCCATACAAAAAGCCTTTCCTTAGCAACCTAATCAAACGCACTGTGTGCAAGATTATACTCAACCCTAAGCATAAGGATATCAAGCCAACAATAGCCAAGATGCATATAAGGGAAATTCATTTTCTTCTGAGGTCAGTAAAAATTTTAGAAGTTGTTAGGACAGTAAGAAAAGGCAAGGACAAAGAATCGTTACCCAAAATAAAAAATTTAACAAAGAAGTGGGGTACATTGGGATTCCCCCACCCATGGGCACAATCAATATGATATCTGGAGGAATGTATAAAGGTGGCCAGAGTGCTTATGGTTGCGAGGCCTATGCTCGCTAAGTAATGCAATTGAACAAGAACAAGCCTTTAAAGTGTCCTTTTGAAGAAGCTACATGGGAGAATGCACTCGTTACATTTAGTTGGTCCAATTATAAATGACCTAACGAGGAGCTAGACGTTATCGTACCTCATGCTGACCCATTTGTAGCTATTGTGCATGTTGGCAACCATAATGTGAACAAGGTTCTTATTGACACAAGCAGCTCTCCAAATATTTTATATTAGGAGTGTTTC